AAAAAAACACGTATCAAAAGATAACTCCGATCCTTTAAAAAGTACGTCGGTCATTACGTTTCCCCGATTAAAATGCAAACGCGGGCGTAGTCGAATGCGAGGCGGCTACGTTTCTGACCGGGCTATTAATCAAACCGTATCGGCATTTTTCGGTGACGCAAACTCGTGGATTCAGTTAAACAGGAATTTCGGTAAATTCCGCGGAAAATGAAAGGGCGCGCGCGCGCGCGCGCGCGCGCTCGCACGCGCGCGTGTGTAAGCGCTTTACACACGTATCGCACGCCATGGTTGCTTCTGTTTGCCAGCTATACGGAAAATGATTAACGACGGGAGGAAAACGAGGTCGAAACTTTCGGCACATCCGGTGGTTGCACGTGCAACCGAGTGATCCGAGACACGCCCGCGTTCCGCGTGCGGTTTTCAGACACGCCGGCGTCGCCCTCCGTCGTCCTCCGTCGTCGTTCGCGCTCCCGGAAATTTCACAATTTTTTCGCCGTCCTAACGCCGTCGAAACGACATGTGACGACGTTGAGCATACGTGACGAGAGCAGGTGCGCGAGAAAAGTGCCGTCCGTTCTCTTCACCGTGGCAAAGCTTACGCCGTAAACGGCTGTCGCCTCGGCGGTGCGCGCAAAATATTAATTAAGGTACGTTACCTCGCTAAAAGGTCATATCTTATAGTGGCGGTTTTCTTCCCTTCTCTCCCTCACGCGCACGAGACAAATGTTGGCCTCTTTTTTTTTTTCAATTCTTAAAGCGTAAATTTTTTAATCTCTTAAAATCCTCAACAATTTTTTTATCTCCCTTTTTCATCTTTCCCGACGGCTCTCTCTCTTCTATACCTCGTATTTCGATAAAATATTTACAGCTGATCCGACTATCAATTTCTCAGTGAGACATAAATAGACTGCTTAATGGCGTTCGCAAAATCATCCATTCTTTCACGATGCCGATCCCGTAAGTAGATCGATTAATAATCGTCAAACTATCGGATGGCCACTTTCTCTTCGCTTGCAATTTTCATTGGCTCGGGACGATGCACACAAGGGTTGCGCCAAGAATTAATTTTTCCTGCAAGAACTACACGCCGCGATAATTTCTCTTCGTCTATCGGTCATCGATTATCTCGACGACACGCACACACGAGACTAATTAATATTTGTCGTATCTCTCGTTGACGCACGCCGATAATAATCGATTATGTTGAAAAATTAAATTTCTCCTCGCGCGGCTCGCCCCTTTTTTCTTCGCGTCAAAAATTTTTCCGAGCGACGATTCAATCGGCTCGACTTATCCGAAAAAACGATTCTCGATCCTTTTGATGGACAACCATACGCTCGTCGCAACCGGGAAGACCGGAAGGAACGCGAGAACTCTTCGGGGAATGCGAAAGCGACCGATCAGATTTCAATGGACGCATTTCAATCGGGGTCACTGCATACGAATTTCTCTTTGGTATGCAATGATTTATGGTTCGTTGCGTGTTCTGGTTGCGGTCGGTTCACCGTCGAGGTAGCTGGGAGAGAAAAAAGCTCTCCCAAAAAGCTCCGCACGACCGCTCCGCCATCGGCGAAATGGACGGACCGAAAAAGAAGTTATCGGCATTCCTTGTATTTTATTCCGTTGTGTTGTGTGTATTACTACAGTTGCCGAAATCGAAAAGAGGGATTTTGAGGAAGAGAGACGAAATATAAAGTACGAATCTGCGAATTTGCGCAACCACCCAAGAATTTCTTCAAATTCTTATCGAAGAGCTATGAAAGTGATAAGCGAAAAATTATTCTAATAATAGATCCTTTCCGAGACGAAAGTCTCGAAATACTCGTAGGCCCTGTGAAACCCAACATCGACGATATCCGCTTTCGCTCGCTATATCATTTTTTTAATTAAAACTACTCACCTTCTTGGCATCATTGTTGTTGTCGGCTGCGTGATGAGGTTGCGGACTCATTGAAGCACCATTGCTGACTGCCCCGCTTTGCGATAGAAGCTCGTCACTACCCCTCTGCAACAATAGAGAATACATTCGTGTAATATAAATAATCCCTTTTCACGATTCCTCAATAAATTCTACTTTCCGCGATGTATATTTCACGTCAGCAAGCAATAACGTAATTCAGAATTATTGCACGTCACGCATTCATACATGGCTTACGACGATCTTCGAATGTTATTAATAACATATTTTCAAAGTAATCATATCACAATATTTTTGCGTAAAAATATTGCAGATATTTACGGAGTAACATTAAACCGGGCGGATTTAGTATTCCACGAGTGCTAATCGCGTCATCCGTCCCATTTTATTCCCGAGGCTTTGAAGGGAATTGAAATAAATTATCGCGTCGAGCATCTTTCGATTACTCAAAAAATGGAAAGAAGAAACGCGAAATCTTCAGCAAAATCCCATTCGATGTCTTGTCCTCGCAGCGCTGATAAATCTCGGACTTGGCGTCAAAAGAAGCGGGTCAGAAGCGCGCAGCAGTAAGATGCTTTTAACTCGAGTCTGAATCTAAATGCTTAACTTGGTCTCTCAGACTCCGGAAAAACGTTGCGGTCATTCGAGCGAAAAGGATTCTTCTCGCGAGATATTAATAATTAATCCCTGCAAGGCTTCGTCTCTTTCGCGAATCTCATTCGCAAAGGACTTCCTCCTCTCTCGACTCGTCTCTTGAGATCGTTAATCGGCCTATACGCAACTACTATAAAGAAGAAACCTATAGAAGTAAATAAACTATTTTCACTATTTATTATTTTCAATATTTTGAAGTAACCGTAAAGTTTAATCGATGCTTAAAGTAAAAGCGCTCTTAGTAAACTATCTTCATTGAAAATCGTCGCATTAATACATAAAAATTTCGTGTAGTATTATGTATACAAAAAAATGATTAATCGATAAAAAAATATAATATAAATTCTCTAGAAATGTAACGTGCTTATTTGAGACAAAGAGCCGTCTTTTCACGATTACGACTTTTCTCATTTCCATGCCGTTCATTATACAGTCGCGGTTTTTCTCGTCGGTGGCGTCCAGCGTCAAAGGAGCACCGCATGCATCGTGCATCGCTTAACGAAATATTTATCGGATCCCCCTACATCGTCACTGCATTTATTCACGTATTACAGGCTGTATTATGCAATCGCGGTTGGACGCAGACCGTTAAATTTGCAGTTGAGCTTTGACTTGAGCGAGAAGCCTTTACTGTGTGTCGCACAGGCGAAAATGCGCGAAAGATAATTCATAACTCGCAAGGAAAACCACTGAGGACTTGAGCCAGGTCCGAGACGGAATGCGAGATCAAAGACAGAAAAGACGGCTGAACGAAGCGGAAGGAAGCGGGGTCACGGGGATATACGGCAGATCCACTCGCGGCCAGCCCTCGGGTCATCGGGCAACAAAGAGCAAGAACGGTCTCGACTTCATTATTCTTTGAATGTTAGCCGAAAAAAGATGCCGGTCGATTTAAATAAGCGCATTCACTCGTTTACGAAACACCGATTTTATTATCCTATCCCATTTCTTCCCATTTACGAATATTTCGATTTGAGAAAGCAAGCCAAGAAAATTACCGTCAAAGGATATGATTCGCGACTTTCCTCGCATAAATTAAAGAAAATTGGATCTTTAATCTCCGTTTTACGGAAGAAGCATTACTTTTTACTTTCTCGTATTTAACGAAAATATTACTTTTTCCAGTTTAGCGATACTTTCCGCTCGAGACAGCATCTCTCGCGAAGTACGTAGAGACGTATAAATTAAATGTAATAAAAAAATATACACGATATATAAATGTACATGCATATATATTATATAAATGCATATACAAATGTACATTATATATGTACATTATATTACTCTTTTATACACTCTTTTATATACTACTCTTGTCTGATCGCATGAAGCACGGAAAGTCGCAAAAGTATTTACTCTCAACTGAAAAAAATAAATAAAAGTAGAAAGCTTCGCGAGTGCAATTAGGAGAACGCGTTTTCTACGACGACGCATGTCTCATACACGGTTTATCTTGCGAAAGTATACCGTGAACAGCGCA